CACACATAATGTATTGGGGATCATTTGCTGTTCTTGGTTTATAAAAGTTTAAAATGATCTGTTGTTCCTTGTATTTTAGTAGAAGCTTATAGTTAGGTTTCTTGCCGGTGCCTACTTGCGTCCGCCACAGGACTGGCTGGTCCTTCAGCCCTCACCACTATCACCCCATCTAGCCTATATGAACAGAAACCTAGACTAGACATTCTGGAGGAGAGTCACTCAAATAGTGAATCATTGACTTAGTTGGGGAGGAGTAGATGGATATTCCCCTTTCAAGGATGCAAGAAGAAACACTACAGAGCTTCGGAAGCTGCAAGAAAGAGAGAGAAACATCTTACCTCTTGCGAAAAGATAGGAAGTGGCCTGGAACAGCCTGAAGCAGAAGGATCGGGAAAGAGGGCATAAATGGAAATAACTCACACTTCAAGCATTTTGCATGGCAAGGATTTGTGAATATCCCATAGGCCAAGTACATATGGTAGAAGGAGCTGGGCTTGAGCTGTCTTGAAGGGATGCTGCCCAAGAGTGTGGCAGCAGTAAGAGACTGTGGGGTAGATTACTAGTGGGCAAAAGCTGAGGAGTTATCACAAAAGGACCAGCCAGGAAATATATTGACCACCTCCACAGGGAATGATACTCTCAGAGGGCTCTTGTAGTATCTCTAAGAATGACAAAGGTGCTCTTAAGACAAGAAAGCCAGTACGTGGGCACTGGCCCCAGAGAGGGTAGCACAGCTAGGTTATAAAAGCAGTGGTCATATAGAGATGTTCACCTCCTTCTCCCCATCTGTCCTCCAAGGCCCCAAATTCTGAAGGCAGGAGGAATCTGAAGAGGCCCAGAGATACGGTGCAAGAAGTAGAGGAAAAATGAAGGGTAGAGTGGGAGCAGAGGGTGTCCCTCTCCCCATGCACAGCCCAATCTTGAACAGGACAAGCGGAGAGAGGAGTTTGGAGAGGGAGAGCATGGCTTCAATTTGGATATAAGTGTAAAGTTTCATTTAAACTGTAGAACTTTTAATACCTGAAAGTGAGCATTAGCTGAGATGACACTGATCTCAAACATGACTATAGGGCTATGGGACCTACCTGCTCATAAGTAGAAAGAGAGTTATAGAGAGCGGATTTGGAGGCAGTGGTTGAAGAGAAATTTTTTTGTTCATACCCTAATGAGCACCTATTCCATCATCCAGCTATTAATACATGTATTTATATTCATTTTGCCTTTGGAGACTTATGTTATTTAGTTGATATTTCTGATAGTTTTTTGTAAGTACTGTTATTTTATGTTTATTATTATTATTTTAGATTGCAAAAGGTCAAAATGCACCAATTAGTCACTTTCCAAGAAAAAAAATCATTTAAATGGGAATGGAACCAATTATTTCAGTGGCAATTAGCTAGAATATGATAGATCCCCTTCATAGATTGTTTTTTCAGTACCATAAAGAACTATAGCTATATGGCAAAGCATTTATTTTCAGTAATTTGCATTGTTTTGCTTATTAAAATGTCTAGTTGCATTTTCTATGTAAAGAATCTAAGCAGAATTTTACTCTATATTCTGTTTATACTATTTAAATTTCATGGTTTTAAATTTTTTGGTCCATCCCTTCAAAAAACATCTTATTTGAAGATTGACTAGATGAGCCTCTCTTGTTTCAGTAACAACAAAACCAAACATTTATTGGATACTTATTATATGCTATACTTGATACTAAAGGCTTCATATAATTTTTTCATTTCATTTCATTTTCTAAAAATGTATATTCTAAGGCGAGGTGAGGAGAGAGACACTACACCCAATGTTTATTGTTTGAATGATGTCATTTTCTTTCCACTAGAATAGAATCTCCTGAAAGTAGTATTGTGGTCTGTCTTGACCAGGGTGGTATCTCCGGCACTTGGCACACAGAAGATGCTCAATAAATACTTCTTAAATCCATGTCGAACACATCTTAAATATGTCACGTAATACCCATTTGATGACATACAGAGACATCGTTTAATTCTCTGACAGTCCACAAAACATGAATGAAAGAAAACAGAACTGTTACAATATAAAGCTACATAATCAGAAGTTGTCCATATAAAGCTATGTCATCAAAGTTATTCTTGAAAAATAAAGCAGGCAGAGGCCACACCATGGAATTTCTCATATGTTCCACGAGAGAATTTTGGAGGTAGAGAATCATTAAAGAACCTGGAAATAATATGATCCAATTTTCCTGTGAGAAAGATCCCTCTAGGAGCAGTGTGGAGAATGGAATTGATGGGTATGAGACTGGAGGTGGGGTGATGGCTAAGTCCCAGTGGTCCCTATGCTTGTCTGATCATCAGAACTTCCTGCAAAATGTTGTAAAACAGATTCCCAGGCCCCACCCCACATCTGCTGAACAGACTCTCTGATGGGAGCCCAGGAATCTGTACTTTTTATATGACCCCCCAGATGACTCATACCAGCCAGGTCTATGAGCCCTGGAATCACCTGATTAGCGCGGTATTCCTGATGATAGAGGATGAGGGCCTGCCTCAGTGCTGTGGCAGCAATGTCCTCCAGCATGGCTTGGATAGACTGTCTTTCAGAATCACTTTCTCATTGAAAGGTAAAAAGATAAACATAAGAAAAGCATATAGATATTAAGGATGAAACTCATATATCCATTTTTGGTCTTATATGCTCTCTATCTATTTGTTTCTCCTAGTCCATCTTCTTTGGAGAGCAAAGATCACCTCCAGGTACCAGAAATACAAGAAGAAGAACATAACAAAAAGAAATTAGATGAAAGCGAAGACGACCTGGAATTCTGGAATAAGCCCTCTTTGTTTACTCCTGAATCTAGACTGGAAACTCTTAGACATATGGAAAAGCAAAGAAAAAAACAAGAAAAATTAAGGTATTCCATTTTTTTCCTAGGAGAATGAGGCAACACTCTCTTATGGACTGTATCTTCATGATTGCACGTCATTTTACCTATTACCTGTGATAAACCTTTGTTAGCCACCACGTATAGATTTTGCTTTTTCTAAGTGCAGCTTTTTGTTGAATTGTATCAGATAACATTCATTAACATAAAAGTACCTTCTTTAGAACATTATCAATTATGACATTTTAGGTAGGGTTTTGTTTGTATGTGTTTAGGCGTTTAACCACTTTAAATGTATCTCACAATAGCGTGGCCTAGGTTAGAAACACTAGTTACCGTGTTACAAAGAAATCTAAGGTCATTTTGTGGGATGAATGAGCTCCTTTGAGTCTTTTCTATTAATTTGCAAAATGAAGAATTAGAAATTAGTTTCATTAGGCATTTTATTTTCCTAATGCAACTCTCTTGGCCATTTAACAGTATAATTTCACTTTTGAATTGTTTAGATGTAATTCGATGATTTGTTAGAAGCTAAGATGCTTAAGCTATTATTTTCAGAGTAGCTTTTTCAAAGATAGTCTCTATGTCATTTCATTTCATGTCATTGCTTAAGTCTAGTATGTAAAATGCATCACTCACAGGAATACTTATTATTCATGAGCTTAGAATGTGATCAATTAGCTCTGAAATACAATAATCTGCATGGCAATGACTCAAGTGAAATACAGTATCTCTCCCTGTGATTATCAACTAAAAGCAAGAAACTGAAAGTGTGGAAAAACTATTTGAAATCTCTGCTGCTTTCCTAAAATTTTCTTCATAATTAGAAAGATAGGGAGGTACAACAATCAAAAATCAAATTTTATCTAAAATACTTGTTCATAAAATGTGGTTATTTTATACACTGAGAGGCCATATAGTGCTTTGGGAAAAGCATTGAATAGCATCAGAAACTACATGTTCATGTCTTGACTCTGCTGCTACTCTCTATGTGATACTGGCAAGTACCTAACTTTCCCTCAGCCGTTTTCCCATCTATTAAACAGGGATTATCATACCTGTTTTACCTCTCCCATCCTATTGTTAAGAAGGTTAGATGAGCCAATAAATGTAAAAGTGCTTTGCAGACTCAAGAGCCCTTTGAAATGGAAGTTCTACATATTTATATAATATGTAATACTTCTAATATACATACCCATACACACATATATATACACATGTTATGTTTATGTGTATATATGTGTATATGAGTAATATGTAATCTGTAATGTACTGAGCCTGAAATCAGGAGAAAAATATTTTTTTTTTCCCTCTGACACCTATAAACATAAGGCTGAATTGGATGGAAGTCTAAGTCACTGTTTCGTGTGTTATAGTCTTCCCAAACCAACAGGTCCCTGAGATATTTACCTCTTTGATCAGACAGCTATTTTCATTAACTGGGAGAAAACAGAGATAAGATCAATCTTTTGATCCTAACTCTGCTCTTATCTGCATTGAGTAGGTTGAAGCCAAGTAGTTCTGGATGCCCTTTAATTGTGCTGGGTCATTGAAATATTTATTTAGTTGGATCTGGACACCCAATTTAAGACGCAGAGGAACATTTATGATTTTTTAAAAAAGAAACTTAACTGATACAAAATCTATATTAAAAGTACAATAGAAATCAAAGGCAAAGAATTGCCTATGGTTTCATCATCTCAACAAGCTTGTCCACCTCGTCTTCTATATTTTGTCCATATATGCCTATTTAAGTTATTAAATATTTTCAGTAATGTTTTAAATAGAATTTACATACTGCATTTTTATTTCACATTATTTCATGAATCTTCTCTTCTTTGCTCCCTTTCTTTTCCTCCTATCCAGCCCTTCAATGTAATGAGTGTTGACAGGCACCCACCACATGTTTTTTTTACCCTTTACAATTGTATACATTATCTCTGCAAATGTAGGATTTCGGGTCCTTTTTTAAAACAAAAATGGACTTATATTTTATGTATTTGTTGTCACTGAATACATCATCAACCTTTTCTAGATCAGTAGGTGAAGAGCAAACACATATTTAATAGCTACAAAATATTTCATAGTGTGAATAAACCACAGTTGATCCAATCATCCCTCCATTGATGGACGTTAACAACAGTCCCACCACAAACAACGCCGTGAGAAATATCCTTTTATATAGATCGTTATGCACTGGTATTTTTATTTCTATTGAATAGATTCCACTTGGTATTTTAAAAATTGTAATTTTAACTAAAGCAGAAGCTCAATACACAAATGGAGAATTGACAGTTATCTGGGTAAATCATGCGTAAAATAGACTTACTTAAATATTCGTGGCTAGTTCATGAAAAGGCGTTTTCTTCCCCCGATTCAAATCATCTGGCAAATGGTCTTGGTTGCGTTTTTGCTTATAGATACAGATACAACCATATAAAAAATCTGGCTTGATTAATTCCCAGCATAGAATTAAAGGAATGGGTTTCATAACAATGAAATGTTGATGTATTCAAAAAATATGATTGATATTTCTTAAGCTGTTTCACAAAAATATATTAATTACTTTTATATTCTCTTTGCTTATTTTTCCCTCCCCCTGCTGTCCCTTGTTCTCACCCACCCCCAATCTTAAGTGACAGAAAGAAGAAAGTGAAGCCACCTAGGACTTTGATCACAGAAGACGGGAAAGCCCTGAATGTAAATGAGCCCAAGTATGTGAGAACAAGTAGAGACTTAAAGATGCAAAATTCATGGTATTAGTCAATTGTCTCAATTCCAGGTTTGCTCTGCAAATAACATACTGACTGCTCTTAAATTTGATGAGTCTAATAATAAAGTCATTTTGTGCATTTTAAAAGGAAAACATCTATTATGTTTTCAAGTGCATAATTTTCTTGGCATCCAAAAAATGATCTTGACATATGGAAATATTTATGTACCCCATGAAACTTTGGACCATATACAGTTTTATGTCTGAAAATTGCCACTGCATTTTTGTGTTTATGAATTTTTAAAACTTTGCCATGAAAGTGTATTGAGCTGGTGGAGAATACTGAAATCCCCTACACATCTACTTTATACTCTGGAACATATCTACAAAGCATTCGAGAGCTAAGGAAAGAAATTGATTTAAATACCTCAGTGAATTTACAAGAGGAAAAATATTCAAATTGGAAATCCTCAAGTATAGTAATATCTGATCTACCCTTTCTGTCTGTCTAATGGTTTAACTAGAAAGCAGGCCAGAAAAGCCTTTTGCAGTTAAAATATAGACCAAAAAGTCTATGGACTAAATCTCATTCACTTTGTTTTATTACTCAAACCTATTTACTTTCATCATTTCAGTTGCTATGTCATTACTGTGGTAAAGGCACTGTCTTGAATTATTCCCGAGCATTTATTCATCTGCACAGCAATCACGGGCGGTGGACAGTATTTCTTCTTTATAGGTCCAGGACGTGAGCCTGAAAGAGGTGAAGTGATTGCCCAAGGTCACATTGCTAATAGGTGGTGTGTCTGACTTGCCCATGCTAATCCAGTTCTAGTGGTTTTGATGATCAAGTTTGTAATCTCACCCTCCAACACTACACACGCACACCTTCTTTATCCAGCAGACTGGAATGCAGCACCAGGCACTAGGCTTGGCTCTGGGGAGATACAGCAGTAAATATGACAGGCTCCTGCCCTCGTGAAGTTTAAAAATGTAGTGGGAAAACTGTCTCTCTTTAGTCTACAGTAGTGCTCTAGGGAGACCCTCAGAGTTCCATGTGCCTCTGCTAAGACCACGCCTTCCCTCATCACACTGACCTGTGCCTAACCTGTGCCTAACACCAATTCCACTTTGGGAGATTCTTTGAAGAACTGACTGCCACCACCTCCCCGACTCTCCTGTCATGCCTCTGCCCTCCTTATTCTCCAGGTCATCTACCATCATCCAGAATCTTATCCCCATATGGTGCTAATCCAGGTCATTCTTGCCCTTTCCCTGGACCCCCTTTCCTTCCACTGTGCCCTCTGGAGCTTGAGCATGGTCAGCCAAACCCAAATCCTCCTCCTTCCCTTCTCACTAACTGAAGCTGAGGACCCACTCCTGCTGCTGCCCACCCTTCTTCCTCACCACATGTACCACAGGGCAGTTACATCCCATGGCTACTTCTAAGCCATTTCTCCTCTTCCTCCGTTGAAGCACAGGCCATTTGGATACATGACCCCTACCCCTTCTTCTTGCAGTCCTCTCCATCACCCTGGTCAGCCCTCAACCTTCTGCCCGTCAGTTCTTTGAAAATCTTACCCCCAGACCAGTGTCTCTCTCTGCCTCTCCTGCCATTGTCAGCCTTGGTAACTTCATCAAACATGTTGGCGATCCACCCAAAGCCCTGGCCTCTCAGTTCCTCAACCACCTCACTTCCAATCATCTTTTTCTCCACCTAAGCTCAGCCAGCCACACAATTTCATTTTCATTCCTAGATTAGCCACCATCAATATCTCTTCCACCTCTAGAATCTTCACCTCGAGCCTCTCAATGAGCATCATCTCCTATGTTCCTGGGGGACTACCTCCACTCCAACAATCACGTGCCCCCCATTAAGACCAGGAATTCATTCACGTTCTTCATGTTCTCACTTTCTCTCACCCTGCTTTGGGTTTATGGTTCTTCATGGAAATCAGTCCTTGGCAAACATCTTTAATTCTCTTGTCCTTTTCCGCTTCCATCACAAAATCCCAACCCTATTGAAATCTAGCACACTACCCATTCCTGGGCTGGCCCTCCCGCATGGCTGGAGGAAACTTTACCTCTGCTCGCTGATTGTACTGTAAATTAGTGACCACAGATCTCAAATGGACTCTGGCAGTCTTCCCGTATTTTCTTGGGCAGTCCCTTCTCCCACTCTCCTGTAGTCAGCTGTCATACCTTTTCTTCTCTCCTTATGTCCAGCACCCCTGACCCTTCCACGGCCTTAACTGAGGACCTTGTCTTTTATTTCATTGAGAAAACAGAAGCAATCAGGAGTTTTCCTTTTCCTGCCCACAGCAATTAACCACCATGTCTGGGTCTGTCCCAAATCTCTTCTCTCCTGCTGCTCTGGGTGAACTTCCTCTGAGAAGTCAGTCTTTGCTGGCATCCCAATCCCATTCCTTCTCCTAACAAGGCCTTGGCTTCTCATATATCCCTGGTTTTCTGCATCAGTTCTCTTCATGCTGATGTATCAGTCTTACCTACATACAAACAAACTATAATAACCTCCATCTTAAAAGACATAAAAACAACAACCTCCCTTCCCTGGTTTCCCTTCCAGCCTCAGCTCTCTTTCTTTGCCCCCACTTAATAGCCAAAATTCTTAATAGAGTTGTCTGCACTTGGTTTCCAATTTCATACTTCACATTCCTTCTTGAAACCTTTTCTGTATCCCATCATCCTGAAACTTATTTAGTCACATCATTTCTATATTCATTGTTCAAATCTCAGTTCCTGTCTTACTTGTCTTGGCAGATTTGGATCAAATTGATCATTACCTTCCTTCTTAAAGCAATGTCTTTCTTTTGCTTCTGATTTTTCTTCTACCTTACTGGCTGCTCATCTTTTTATACTTTGTTGGATCCTTTTTTGTCTCCTGAGTACTCTAGGGCAAATTCCTCAGCTGTCTTCTCTTTTCACACTCACTCTTCAGGGATCTCACTGAATCCCATGGCTTTAAACACTAACTTTACATTGTTCACAACTGGATCCAACCTTTTTCCTGAGCTCAAGTCTTGCCTATTTAATTAGCTATTTGACATCACTGTGTGGATATAAAATAGTTACTGCAAACTTATCATGACTAAAACAGAACTCCTGGTTTATTTCCCACTCTCCCCCATAGTATGCGGTATCCCAGTGTTCTCCATCTCGGCAACAAGTTATCTGCTCATTTGTTAAGACCAAAAACCTTGGATTCATTCTTGATTCTCTCAATCATTTTATCAGTGAGCCCTAGGAACTCCTCCTTCAGTAGTACGAAAATCCAGCTACTTCTCATTAACTCCATCACCACCACCTTAGAGCTAGCCACCACTACCTCTTGTCTGGACAGTCTCAACACCTTGTTAATTAGTCCCCATGGTTAATATTTTTGCCTCCTACAATCTATTTTACTCATCTGTATAAATAGAAAGGAAGGAAAGAAAGGACACACACACCCTTTCTTAAGAAAAATTCCTGGAACGTGCCATACAACACTTTCCCTCACATGACCACATCTAGCTGCAAGGGAGGCTGAAAAATGTGGCTTTTATTCTGCATAGCCATGTGCCTAGTGAAAATCATGGTTCCTATAACTATGGATAAAGGGGGAACAGATAGTGGGCAATGAATAGCCATCTCTGCCATAGAAAACCTCTCTGAAATTACTTTTCAAGTGATATACAAAGGGAGAATTCAAGTTGGCTGGCTGGAGAATTGGGAAATAACCAATCAAGGCAGAGGAGACAGCACATAAAAGGTTCCTGAGATGAGATTAAAAAATGCACAGGTCATTGGAGACACTGAAGAAGTCTCACATGGCTGGATTATTGGGAGTGATGAGATAGTGCCTGCCACAAGCAGATGTACTGCTGACAGTCAAATCTATCTCTGACTTTATATTTTTCCAAACAATTTAGATTATGTTCTTTAATATTATTGGGTTATACATTTTGTATTAATATAATAATATAATAAGTGAAATGCTCAAATAAAATTGACCAGGTAATTCTGAGTAGTATGTTGCTAGTATATTGCTAGTGTGGAAGGTAGACCTAGGATTCAGCCTCAGGGTAGAGTTGAAAGACTTAGGGCCTTGAAATCCTACTATCCAGCTTCATACAGCCTCTTCCCCAGCTATGCCAACCTCTTTGAACCTCCATTTCTTCATCTATAAAACAGACACAGTGGGCAGTGTCTCAGCCTTTCCCAGCATGATGGAAAGGTCCACACAATGAAAGGAGAAGAACCAAGACGGCAAAAACAAGGAAGGAAGACAGGATTGTTTAAAACTTATAGAATAGAATGCTGGGTAAAGCGGAAGCAAATACAACCTTTAGTTCTCTATCAATAATTCCAGCGTTTTATTAATAGTGTGCTTCCAGCAAACTCACATGAAGTGGAAAAGAAAACTTTAGCCACCAGATGTCTCTATCTCTGCACCAAAGCTAATTTTTTGTATGTAATTTACCTTAAGATTCTCACATATAAACAAGATAAACATAAATATTTTATTAATATGTTATAGATTTCTTTAAAATTTTAAAATTAACATAGAAATTTTATTGTCCAACTACCAAAATAAGTTTGTCATTGGAGATTATTATATAATTATTATCAAATTTACTTTTGATTATGTGATGAGGTTATCTCTATAGTATCCTAAAAACACCTTTTTTTTCCCCAATGTATTATTCCTAGACTTGAATTCTCTTTGAAAGATGATGAAAAACGTAACCAGATCATACTGGACCTTGCTGTCTATAGGTAAAGACATTTTATTATGTATTTATTTAATGGGATTTCTGTCTGTTTTCATTCTCAGTAGCAATCTTCTGAGTTCTGAAACATTTTGAAATGGCATTTGGTTTGCCATGTAGTTAAATGAAGAAGTTTATTTTTTAAGACAGAGAACTTACTGTAATTTTTTAAAAAATGAAAATTGCATGGCTATGAACTCTGGAATAGTTAAGGCAGAGTTTAAATAATTCTCAGAGCCGTGCTATTTTCTAATGCTGGTACCATAAGGACCCCCTCTGCTCTTTGCCCTTAAACTCCTCTGTTTTCCCAGTATGCTTTGCTGTACTAATAAGCATCACGTGGGCAGCTCCCCTCCCCCAGTCCCATCTTAGAGACCTCAGGGTACACCTAGCAGCTGCTTTGTCACCAGCAGACGCTTCTTCCCAGCTGCTCTCTCACATCACCTTTATTCTAGTGGGGGGAGTGGCAAAGGCACCCTGCTTACTCCTCAGCACCACAGCCAGACTATTGTCCCACTCTTCTCCCTAAAACTCCACAGTTTTACCACTCACACCTTTGGTCTATACCGCTTTCTGTCTTTCATTATGGGAGTCACCTAAAGAGACCAGGTCACTCTGCCTCATTCCAAGATTTTAGGTTCTAGCTCACTGTCCTGATATCCTTCTGATGTTCTCGGGGTCCACTTGCAACATCTCAGCGACCGCTTGCATGTGCTCCCCTCTGTCTGTATCGCTCTCGCCCTATGTGTCCTTGTGGCTTGCTGCCTCTTGTCCTTCAGGCCGCTGTTCAGATGTCAACTTATTAAAGAAGCCTCTCTACCCCACAGTCCAACATAAAGCAATTCCTACCTCTGCCCCAGAACTTCCCTCTACCCTCCTTGCTTTTTGGTTTCTCTTTGGCAAAGTATAAATTTACTTGTATTCTTAAAATTTGTGGTCGAGGCAGGAACTTTGTTTTGTTTGTTCTTCCCTCTCTATATCTGTAGCACTTAAAACAGTGCCTGGCACATGTTAGATACTCAATCCATACAAGAATGAATGAATGAATGAATGAATACTGACAGTGGGAGTATGACATTTTCATACATGAATTATAATAAAAGCCTTTCTCTTTTTAATGGTTTTCATGTGCTCTATTTTATTTAATCTATCAGTAACCCTGGGAGGTAGTAGGGGTTGTTTTCCTATAATAATCCCGGGAGCATAAATTTTCAGGGGATGAGTCTTGTCAAAGGAAACAGTGATCAGAGGAGCCACAACATAAACTCTCAGGTCTTCATCCAACTTTGATTTTTTAATTGTAGTAAAATACATGTAACTTAAAGTTCAACATTTCAACTATTTCAAAGTGTACAACTCAGTAGCATTTCATAAATTCAGTGTTATGCAACCATGATCACTGTCTAGTTCCATAAAATTTTCATCATCCCAAAAGAAACCCCATATTCATTAAGCAGTTACTCCCCATTCTCCCTCCCATGGCAACCATTAATTTGCTTTCTGTCTCTATAGATTTGCCTATTCTGGATATTTCATGTAAATGAACACATTCAATAGGTAACCTTTGTGTCTGGCTTCTTTCACTTAACTGTAATGTCTTCAATGCTTATTCATGTTGTAGCATGTATCAGAATTCTCTTCCTTTCTATGACCAAATAATATTCTGTTGCATGGATACACCAAATTTTATCTATCCATTCAACTGATGGGCATTTGAGTTGTTTCCACCTTGGCTCTTGCGAATTGGGGCCAGCCCTGCTGTGGTCCCTTCCTCTCTACACCACGCTGTCTCACATGAGTTGTCTGCCACACCACACCTAGGGTCAATTCCTGCCCACTTGCTGTCAGGTCACCTGCCTTTAAAAAGCTTCTAGCTCTTCCCCAGCTAACTTTATATCCTCTGTTCCTCCAGCTCCCCGAGCTCTCTTTTCTGTTGCTTTTTAGTTAAACATTCACTGTTTCATCTATTTAAGCCCTTTCCATTTTTAGGCCTTATTTCTGGAGTTTAATGAATGCGTGACCCTTTAAATTTCAGCTCTGTTGGCTGCTTCCTGTTCTGTCCACAAATGGAAACTTTCCTTATCCCTACAGACATGAATTTTAAAGGGTAGTGATATTACTCTTGTCTATATAGTAAAATCCATCCATTCCTATGATTCTGTCTAAAAAATTATGCTAAAATTCCTTTTCATTTTTATTGGCACATGGGTGTATGCATGAAAGTTAAATTCATCCCTTCATGTATGCTTCTTACCCTTTATTCAACAAATATCAATAGACTATCTACCATATGCCGGTCATGGGGAGACTGTAACTGGCATATTCTAAATATAGTCATGTTCTCTTGTCACAGCCCTATGTGGGGACACATAATAAATAGCCAGGCCTCTAACTCTAATGAGTACTCACAAAGGGAGAAGAGTGCTGTCAAGGAAAGGGACAGCCTTCAGGGATGTGGAATAACGGTATGTGTGAGGTCTGGTGGTTGGTGGTGTGAGGGTGGTCAGAGAACGGTGGTGACGTGAGCAATGAAAACTGAAGGATTGAAGTAGCTTGCTCTGCAACAAACTGGCTGATCGTCTCAGGTAGACAAGGGCCTTGCAGGTAAGGGCAGATGAACGCTTTAGGAGGCCTGAACATGGAAAAGAATATGTAATCCATTAAAGTGGTGGATATTACACATGACATGTAGAAACTCTTATCTCTATTTTTATTATAAAAATTTTTATTAAATAATATACCATAATACTTTATTAACAATAACACCATGCATGTATCTTCATAGCAATCTTAGGGGGTAGGCACTGTCATTATCCTCATTTTACAGATGAGGAAACCGAGGCTTAGAGAGGTTAAGGATTGTGGTCCCAAGTAAAAAAGCAGGAAGGGGTGGAGACAGTTCCCCATATGTCTCTGTGACTTCAAAGCCTATGCCTTTAATCCTCGCATTAGTTTATCTGCCTTAATGTTTGCAACTTTTGAATCAGCACTGCATTTTCTACTGTTCACAATTAGTATTTTAAAAATATATGAAAACAATTATTTGGCTAAATGCCTGATTTTATTGAGTGATATGAAATCTAAATCTTTTATTTCCTCCTGAGTCAAGGAGAGTGATTGCCACCTGATCTTGGGATCAGTGCCATAAATGGAAGGCTTTGCTTGTTCAGCAGGATGTGCCTTCGAGGGCAGAAGCAAGCTAGTCTTCCAGGGGAGATAGTATCAGGGACAGCTGCAGAACAGCTGCAGGGGATTGGGAGCCGCCAAGGAAGCAGGAGCTGGTGGTTTCAGGCCTCTGGCAGAGTAGATTCAGCATTCCTGACTATTCAAGTCTTAGGGGCTTAAAATAAAATATTCATGAAAGAACATGGCAAGCTGTTTTTTGCAAACCTCTGGTGTTTCAGACCTCAGATATTTTTGGGTTAGGGGCAATCAATGCCAAGTGTACTTGTGGGTCTAAAAATGAAATTGCTGATATATTGAATTTCCTTTGGTCTGGGGATTAATTTAAGACTACTTTGTAAGACCTGTTCAGCATGGAAATTTTAAACTTTCTTCATTTAAAACGGTCACATAAGTGTGAGCTTGTATTTGTACTTCTTTAAACTTAATGTTGAAAATGATAACACTGTGTGTGTTTAATGTTGAAGGTATATGGATACCTCTTTAATTGACGTCGATGTGCAGCCAACGTATGTGCGAGTAATGGTCAAAGGCAAGGTAAGTGTAACCCTGTAGACTATCACAATTTCAAAAGCTAACCCTTGAACTAAGCTGTGTTGCCTTGATTTTTTAAAAAAAAGTTATGAAAATAGAAAAAGAGAAACCCAATCAGAGTACTGTTATTTAGGCACATGGTTTTATGCCACGGAATGGTATACAGTAGACATGGCTCCTGACCATTGTGTAGCTTGATAGAATTAATATTCTAAACCTGTGTCCAGCTTTTTCAAAGCTAATAACATGATCATATAGGTGGTAGCCTATGCATGAAGTTAAATAGTGTATACATTCTAAATGTCAATGATTTCCTTCATAGCAACTATAATTTTATCATTTTTGAAACAGTATTTTTTGCTGATTCCGAGGATTCATATAGGTTAGCTTGAAGACTCATGGTAAATATGTTGATGTTTTATAATAGGTTTTATTTATGTTATAAATTACTCTTTAGCCATAAATGGACCCATGAGTGTTTCACTGTTTGTAACTGATGACTATTCTTTAGACTATTTATTAAAACAGGTACCATAGTTTATAGATATCAAGTATAGCTCATATATTATTTTTTCTTAATAAGTCTAAACATATTTCTTAATTGAATGGTGTATTCTGAATTTGTAATGAAAATGTCTCTTGAAGTAACCTTCTCTTATAACATGTCCTGCTCTTGATGACTCCTCCTGCTTATTTTCAGCCATTTCAGCTTGTCTTTCCTGCAGAAGTCAAACCTGATAGCAGCTCTGCTAAAAGATCTCAGACAACAGGGCATTTGGTAATCTGCATGCCCAAGGTAGGTAAATGTCATTTGGCTCAATTTCAAGTCTGGATGTGTTGGTTCCTGAAGGAACTTGATCTGTCAAGACTAATGATGACTTCTGATCAAGGTACTTTTTCAGTTGAGAGAACCAAAAAATCTACTCACACCACTCAGGTGGGAGACCAAAGGCCTGTGAGAGCAAAAAGATGAGATAAGGATGTGGTTGGGATCTGAGGTGGCTTATCCTTCCCTGAGAGAACTTAAAGAAATTAAACTTAAAACAATTATGGATGGACATGGTGGCTCACACCCATAATCCCAGCACTTTGGGAGGCCAAAGTAGGAGGATCACTTGAGGCCAGGAGTTAGAGACCAGCCTAAGCACCATAGTGAGACCTACAAAACATATGAAAAATTAGCTGGGCATGATGGCACATGCCTGTAGTCCTAGTTACTCAGGAGGCTGAGGTGGGAGGACTGCTTGAGCCCAGGAGTTTGAACTATGATCAAGCCACTGTACTGCAGCCTGGGCAATAGAGTGAGACCCTATCTCTAAATAATAATAATGATATAATAATAATTTGTTGATATGGAGTATCTGGATTCCTCATTACAGGCCATTTGCATAAGTTAGGAGTAGGATGTTTCCTATTGTAAGCTGCAGAAACAACAAACAAAACTGGCTTTAGTCATAAAGAAATATTTCATTTCTTAAAACAAGACAGGAGAAGGTAAGGAGGGCCTGAGGCAGGTAGGGTCAGGGTCTTTCTCATATGTCAGCTTCATCCTTAGATTGGCTTCTTTCCATAAGATGTACACAAGTAGTAACTTGGGCAACATATTTTCTTGTTCTTACCGTGCATGAAAAGAAAGAGAATCAGAGAAAGAGGCACAAAGAGAGGATCTCTCCCATCACCATGGAATAAAAGTTCTTCTGCACTGATTAGTCCAATTTAGTTGAAGAGCCCATCAAGTCTTGACTAGCATAATCCTGAACAATTAAACCAATCTCTGGCCAAAGGGATGGTAGGACAGTCATCCCTCTATATCCCTGGGTTCAACATCCATGGATTCAACCAAAATTACATCTGTACTGAGTATGTACAGACTTTTTTCTTGTTATGATTACCTAAACAAGACAGTATAACAATTATTTGCACAGCATTTACATTATATTAGGTATTGTAAGAAATATAGAGATTACTTAAAGCATATGGGAGGATGTGCATAGGTGATAAGCAATTACTGCACCAATTTATATCAGGGACATGAGCATCAGTGGATTTTGGTATCTGTGAGAGGTCCTGGAACTGATCCCCCACAGGTACTGAGAGATGACTATACTCTGATTGGTTTCTATTAATCAGACCTCATCCCATGAGCTAGAGGTGGGGTCGACTTTGCCCAAGTCAGATTTCAAAGGGGAAAACTAGATAAACCAGTCAAAATGAGGTTCTGCTGGTGGGGAATAAAAGGAGAATGGGGGTAGGAGTGTCTGCTACAAAAAGTATAAACTTGATTAACCAATCAGATCTTTGTAATGACTTAGTAATCTTGCATTTTCCTATAGCCAATTTCCAACAGATCGATGATAATCAATTATGTATTTTTACTCTGAGATAATAAGACAGCAGATACAATTTGTTGTCAATAAAATAACAAACACAACTGTAAGAATTGAATTTCCTTGGTGACCATCAAAAATTAAGGAAATACTTCTGTAATAACTAGAATATCCTATAGGGAAATCTAAGTGATAACATAATTACTAAAGACATTTGCATGACACTATGATCAGCAGCCTTTTTTTATTGTAACTTCTAATTGAATAGCCAAAGATTAAATAGGAACTCTGCTATTTCCTGAAGGAAAATCAAGACATATGATTTGTGTACCTTTTGCAGGAGACCAGGTAATTGATGAGAACATCTACTGACACTGCTTCTAAATCTTAGATAAATGCAACATTCTGTTTTCATTTTCCATTTTGTTTTTATATCTG